GTCTGTTTAGCTACTGAATGCTCCACTATGATCACCAGCTTGTCGCTAACTGTGTCTGTGTGCTGTTTGGTGCTGAGCAGATAGTGAACAGTGGGTTTATCAGAGCTGATGAACAGTAACAAAACCAAAACAATCAGCTGAAAGACGCTAAAAGCTGAGGGGAAACAGCAGACTAAAAGCATCTCATTTTGTGCTTCAAGTCTGCGTAGAATGTTTAAGTTCACAGTCTTTATCTAAACTTGGCTTTCTTTGATTTGCCAAAACATAACCATAAAAAGCCAAAAGCACATTTTATTGGGAAAACAAATGATATGTGTTGACATTGAACATTGTACAGATACATTCAGTATGAACATTTTGTGTTGGCAGTGAGCAGTTTGTGGATATAATATAAATGTTTCTTATTATGTCATAACAAATGTAATTCAGCCATTGTCATTTCTTTCTTTCTTTCTTTCTTTCTTTCTTTCTTTCTTTCTTTCTTTCTTTCTTTCTTTCTTTCTTGTCATTATGTGTCTTGAAACCACCTGGACACAGAAACCTCCTGTATCCTTCAAAAAACATTGACTTGCATTCCACCTTTTGACAGACTCATCCAGACACGGCTGACACTATCACACGTACACACTTTGTTTCTCTCTCTCTCTCACATATTAAAAGTTGTTTCTCACTCGCAGCTTTCTCATCAGCTCTGGTGTCCATCAACAGAGGCCCACACAATAGCAGCATGCACCATTGACCCCAATGAATCATACTCTGTCTGACTGACAGCACTACGCTCCTCGCCACTACTCCTCTGTCACATACAGATTGAGCCTGCATGATGGATTACACAATGGATTATGATGGATTATAAGACTGGAATTCACATAAAAACACACAAACACTCTTTGGCTCAACCATATCCACAGACACTGACTCACACGGTGTATTTTTTGGAATTTACTGGCCTTTGATTAGTCTGATGCTCACCTTCATCATTTTATTTGTTTAACACAAGTTGTCTCTTTCTTGCTGTGTGCTCTGGTGAAAACGGGAAAAAAAGGAAAGATTTGGAGATGTCACTGTTTGCTTCTTTTGAGTGTGACTCTACATCTGTTGCTATGGTAACGTTGTACATTCCTCTTCCCTCTCGTCTCTCCTCTTCATCTTTCTTCTTCTTGGTCAATTCATTATGGATAGCGAGAAGTTGTTCTTGATTAACCTAATTGGATCTGAACGGGTTTGAATATTTAAAAGGAGAGCGTCTCGTTTTCAGTAAGGCTTTCAATTCGGTTTTCAATTCAAAATTCATTTATGCGCAAGTGGACGTCTGAATGAATCCAAATATCACCATCTGCCTGACAAACAGAGGAGGTGGGGGATGATACACTGCAGGACTGAGTGTGTGTTTGTGTTTTATCACAAACCTAGAGCTTCAGATTTATGATTCAAAGATGGCAACGTGCAGCATATTAACGGTTTCTATCACACACACACACACACACACACACACACACACACACACACACACACACACACACCTTCTTAACCAGATTGAGGCAGGATGAGGCCAGGCTGCATGACCATAACTGTGACAGAGTGATTTAAAGTCACATTCACACACACATCACATTCCCACTTCTCTTATCTTCTTTGCTTTTCCAGTCAAGTGAATCTACAGCATGTTAGTCATAATTTCTTACTGCCGCCTATTGCTCCTGTGCTGTAACCTTCACTGACTGCCACCGCTGTGACAGCTAATTATATGGCCAGGATCTCGGGGCAGAACAGTGAACAAGACAGGTTAATATGAACATCTTCTTAAATATGTTGTCCTGTCTTTCTGATGTGCTAAAGAAGTAAGTATAGTGAAATACTACTTACTGTTTACATTTGACTGTTTAAGTCTAAGAGAAATATGGACCAAGTATTGCAGTTATTAGGATAATAGTTTTTATATGTATAATGTAATATTGTAAGATAGATACACCTTTCTCTACATAACAAATGCAGATACTACAGTACTACTTTCTGTGTGACCTTGTAATTTTGTTTCATTACCGCAACCTTTCTGCAAATTTGACCACAAGTTTAACTAATCATAGCAGTCCCTCACACAAAACATTGAGCTATATGTCACCAAACTTACTTACTTGCTTTTACGCCTGCCCCGTTTTCAGTTTTGTGACATTGCATTTTCCAGCTAATCCAAAGCTTCTTAATAGTATATTTAGCTTAATTTTGTTGCTTTGTAGAAAATACCCCCCATGTTCACTCTTTTATTTACAAATAAAGCATTTTGACAGGCACAGTTAGAGACTAGTAAACATAATGGAGCATTTAGCAGCTGAAGAGTCTTATTTCCCTCTAAAGCTGGTGGAGACCAAAACAGAGCTAAAAGGGATTATTGGACTTCCATTTATCAGGGGAACACAAACATATCCTAATGTTACTGGATGTGTAAGTAGGCAGCTGCTACTAACACATCTCCATACCAACTTTACAAGATGATGATGATGATATAGCAGTATTGTGTTTACAGGTTTTTACACCAAATGGCCTAAGATAAAATCAACCTATGCAGGCTGATTTTTACTTTGATTTGTCACCCATTTGTTATTAAACATATCCAACAAAACAAACTCAAATTAACCAGTTTGCAGCGTAGCCACAAGGCACTGTGTTGAGGCGATGGTATAATTCTCTCCCCTCTCAATTTAGTAAGCCCCAAGTCTAAAATTTAACAATACCTTGTTTTAGGGGGTTTCCCTCTTTGAACTTTAGTAAATTACTGACTGAAGTCAAAGTGTAACAAGCAGACTGAGAAAAGGTCCACGTCATCCCAAAATAACAGCATACTCTGTGTATGATAGAGGATCCGCAGATGGATGTTTCTGTCCTCCTCTTGCCCCTGCTGCATCTATCATATGTACATCTCATAGTTTGTGCAGGAAGTAACAGGACTCTAATGTGACCTTTACTGGTGATAAATATGTGGCTGGCTGCTGGAGTATAGAGTAAAGAGCAGCACTCCAATTTAACCTTTTTTATTTTTTACAGTACAAATGCTTTGGGCAAGATGCCCTTTTTCAGCATTCATTTAAGATAACAATGTTATAAAGCATAGTGGCTGCAAGAGACTTCTGGCTTTATGGGAAGATTAGATTGCTTTGCCTTAGTGGGTTTTCATTCTGTTACTGTCTTTAATAGTTTAGTTGACTCTATAACCCTAAACAGGGTAGTTAGAGGGGAAGAATGAGTTTTCTTGACTTCCCACATTTCAATTATTCATCAGCCAGAGAGTTAATTTCAAAGAAGGAGAAAGCAGAATGAGAATGAAGCATGACGTAGAAGAAAAAAAGGAAGAGATTATCATAAGTTATCAAAAGATGGTGATGAGATTTACTGAGACCAAAAATAATAAGCACTAAGAAAAAGTCACAGAAACGACGCAGGTATAAGATTAAATTCCTTCCCTGTAATATGTGGTTTGAAACATTAGACACTCCACCTAAAGGTGAATCACTGCCATTTGATGATTCACTGGTAGAGTTGAGCTGCTGTGGATGTGATGAATCATGAATCAAAAGCTAAGAATATGTTCTGGAGTGAAGCTTGACTACCATCTGCTCAAGTGATTCAGCTTTTGATTGAGGACGAGCAGCAGTGAATATGTGGATTTGAGCGTCTACAGGTTAAGGAGCTAGTGAAAGGAAAAACGATTGCAGGCAGGTTCGAGAGCACAACTGTGGTTGAAGGAAAGAGAAATACGACACAGAAAGGAAATCAGAGGAATATACAGTATGCCCTTTCAGTCTCTTCACTTTTTTTGTCGTGCCCCCCCCCTTCTGTTCTCATCTTCTGAGTGCTGTAGCGAAGGACAGCGTTAAGCCACTTCCAGCCCTTCGTCCAAAGCTAATGCATTTCCCTTAAATATTTCAATATGATCCTCCTCTGTTCTGCAAGGTTGAGTACAAGCTCTCCCTCAGCTGGCGCCCACAGAGACGCACTGCCACCGATAAAATCCTGCCAGGGGTTTGATGTCTCAGAGTGCTAGTAAAACAACTGCTGAAGACTTGCATCAAAACGAGGCAGAGATACTGTAAGGGAGGATGTGGGAGGACTGCAAGACGAGGATATAGATTATAGATCGAAGGAGATACATCAAATAACCAACGGTTGTTATGTGGCCGTGCGTTTTTTTCATCGTTATGTGTGCATCTGTGATTTACTGCACTTCTTGTGCAGATGTAGAGCAGTGTGCTGGCTGATGCAACATAGAGCAAACTTGTATTGTTTGTCAGATGTGGTTCTGCTCTGCAAAATCTGGTCTGACAGGCACTCCAGTGAAGCATGCAGGCAAGCACGGAAGGCCTATGAGTAAATCCAATCCACACATGAAAATAACACCTGAAAAATCCACTTCCCACTTTACGAGCTGTTATGTAAGACAAAAAAAACCCTTGTGCATGTGTATGTGTGTGCTCCTTTGTGTAATTGTTCAAAGACACATCCAGTGGCGGCAGCAGGAGCAGCGAGTGAATGGTTCAATAATTTCAGTTTGTCATTATGGTCTATACGTGTCCTCCCTGGTCCTTTTCTTCCTCCCCGCCTGTCTCTCCATCGCCTCATCACTCCTGCCATTATATTTCATGGCAGCAGCCGTCGTGGGGCCGGACCTAGAGGAAATTAAAAATCTTTGCTGCTTTGTCGCTCTCCCCTGTGGGTGGGAGGATGTCAATAAAGTCTTTGAGCATTATGGCCTCATGCACATATGCAGAAAACATACCGTACTCAAGATAAAAAAGCATACACACATACTGTGCTGTAGACTATACATTTACTCAGGGTGACAAGTTAGCACACAGACTCAATGCCAAACAAAGACAAGGTATATTCATTAACCTTGGGGTCACTCAGTTATGTGTGTGACAGCTATCACCCATCTGGTATTGATGGAGCCTTAAATATAATGAAGACAAATATTGACGTGCTCTCTCTTCTCATATATGTTCTAGTTGCAGAACCAGTAACCGGAAAAGCCTCATCCTGACCAGTACATCCCCTACCCTGCCACGGCCGCACTCTCCACTGCCTGGACACATAGGTCAGTATATAAAAGTTATGATAGAGCATGATTAAACAGTATATTGGACTCATTATATATGTTTATTTTATTATTGTCAATTTACCTGTGGTTACTTAAAAAAAAAAAAATTACATAAAATAAGTTAAATAATATGTTTAAAATAATAGAGAAAGCAGACTTTAAAAATAGCATTTGCAGCATAACCACTCGATAACAAATTCTTTTTACTCACTTAGTGGGACTGTGCCACTGTATGTAATCAGTTGCAATCACTCTGTTTGGGGGGGTGGGGGGGCTTGGTGGAAATCTTGACAGAAAGAAATTAAGAAAAAAAACAATTAGCTTTAAAGATAAACTTGACATCGACTGAAAATAAATGTAAGTCTTGTGCTGAATGAAAGGGGAGAATTTAAACCACTGATGATGATTCCCACAGTGGAGAGGCTTATGGATGGGCCCAAGAGTTTCACAAGAATTTAATTTAATTTATGTTTTTATTGAACATTCAATAATGTTTGACCAGATTAAAAGATGATGCAACATCTACTTTAATTACATTTGTATATTACGTTTTCAAACTTCATATAAAAACTGAAAGAACAAGCAGCAAACATCTGAATCACTGTGTTCAAAACTCCATTAAATATGCCGCAGCTGATGAAATTAGAGCTTGCAGTTGCCATTTGTCACCCCGTACGCTTTCCGGCATGTACTTTTTCAAGGTGCACAACAATGAGCAAAATCAAGCACCAAGCAATGGAAAGATGTGTCACTGTAAAGAGAGCTCTAACAAATGCTGACTCATCTTAGCCCCCAGCACAGTCAAAGACAACCAACCCTGGGGTGCCATTAAAAAATATGAAAATCACTATGGAGAGGTGCCATGGAATGAAAATGAAAAGGCCCCTGAATGTACAAGTCTCCAGCATTTCCTTAAAAGTGAGGCTGATTAAATGAAATGGTAATAACTCGTGGAGTGTAGTTACCTGTCACCTAAAATGAATGTAGGTATACTATCCTGCCCAGTAACCCACAGCGTATGTTTTCTGTTGTGTTCTGTCCATATGTATTTTAATAGGAAGCAGTCCGTTGGACAGCCCGCGCAACTTCTCACCAAGCGGACCTGCCCACTTTTCCTTCGCCTCGTCTCGCAGGTTGGCTTCCCTCCTTTATTCACACAAGTCACACATGCAACGAGCGGTGTGAAGTAGTTGAGTGAAAATGTTGATAGGATTACTTTTACACCCACTCACACACTCCTAAGATGCAAAATGAAACTGCGTGCCACTGCCCTGTCTTTGTCGTACGCTGCTCCTGCCGAGCGTCTGTGCGACTGAGGCGTGACAGCAGGCCAAGGTGAATGAAGCGAGGTGCTGGGATTTTGCCCAAACGTGTGTCCCTCATCACTCACTCGGAGGAAGTGTCAGACTCAGGAATGGCTGGAGAAGGCCTGAGGGAAGAGAGGAATAAAAGGAACAAAAAAGTGTAATTGGATAGACTGAAAGGACGTGAAGGTGGTGGAGTGTTTCAGTATAACTGCCGATAGTGTTGTTTGGAGAGTCTAAAATAGAAACTGATATTGGAGTTCTGGCTGTTGAAAGTGATAGAGATAACAGCTTTTATTGTTTTTGACTCTAACATATGTTTTCCATTTTCAACTTTTTTCTTTTCTTTCTTTCGTCAAGGGCTGATGGCCGTAGATGGTCCTTGGCTTCTTTGCCTTCCTCAGGATATGGCACCAATACACCCAGTTCAACGGTAAGTTTAAGAGGAGGAAGAAGGCCATACACTTGTAGCTCCTATGCAGTTGTTTAGTTTTATATTTATTCAGCAGCACTTTTGCACAGGTTATCTTCTTGAGGACCGATCTAACATTTTCTCCCAATACCTCAACCATCTGATTTCCTCCTTGACTGATTTTACAATCTGATATCATTGTTTCGTTTTACCAAAGTTTTAATCTGTTCACTGTGTGATTGCTGGCTGTGTCAGCGGTGCACAGTGATTAAAGCAATGTAACTGATTGCTGAAATTACCCGATTTATCTGTACCCAATCCACTTGATTAAGTCAACACCAATAGCAGTTCTTCATATTGGATAGGATAGGTCTCAGGTCATCATGTGTCTGATATATTTATATATATTCATAGTCAACAGTTAGATATGGAGTTAGCTGTGTGAGTGGCTGAATGAGAGGCAAATTATAAAGCGCTTTATCCTGCAAAGGTTGAGAAGCTCTACATAAGTGCATGTTATTTACCACTCATAGCCAAGAAAGACTTCCAACATCAGCATGTCCACATAAGGCAGCTGTGGCTCAGATGGTAGAGCCTGTTGGCCAGTGCCCTCAAGCAAGATACTGTAACCCCAAATTGTTCCCAGTGTATGTGCACGTAAAAGAAAGTGAGTCACTTCGGACGAAAGCATCTGCCAAATCAAAGCCTGTATCAGAATAGGTGTGTGTTTTCTTTCTTTAAGAGGTTACCAAAATGACTGTCCACACCACAGTTGTGACTGCAGTAGCTGCAACTTTCCTTCAGTTATCGTGTATTATTACTGCAGCAGCCGCTGCACCTTATTCTCTCTCAAATGTAGGATTGAGCTGACTAAGTGTGTCCTTGTAATACAAAACTTGTGACTATCAAACAGGACACCCCAGTGCAGCAGCAGTCTCCTGAAAAGTCCCCTGAAGTACAATGTGAGGCTTCTGGTGATTTTCACAGAGAGATTCTTTCATGTTTCTGGGTTTTTTTTAAATCTTTCATCTCCTTTTTTATCAAAGAGGAGAAAAGTAATTGACACTCACGTGTGGGATCTGTTTTTTCTTCTCTTGATAATTTAGGTCATAAAATCTCATTTAAGTCATAAAATCAACACACAAAACTGTTTTTTAGATTTTTCCTCCAATGTTAGATTGATGAGTTGGGTTTTGTATCCTTTGCATGAATATGTAACTCACTCAGAGAATTTATTTGCATATATTTTCATGCATAAAATCGGTTTGTGCTATTCTGCTTGTAAATGTTCTAAAGTTGCATGTTCTACTTGCTTTGAAATGATTACACGCCAGATATATAACGCCATGCATACACAAACACACACGCCCATGTATTCTTTGACTTTGTACTTGCTGCTGCGAGTCTCGGCTGATTATTTCAGTGCCAGTGCTGAAGAACATGCATTACATGTAAACCAGAACAAAAAATAACTGATCAGTTGCTAAGATATGATCAACCTGATTTATGTGCAGCTGATGACTTGGCTTGTCTTGAAAAACAGTAGAGCAGGGATAATGGAAATGTAACCAGTCTGTATTTCTGCCTGGCATTCTCAAGCTGTTCTAGTGACTATTCCTCCATCCATCACTTTATCCCCAGAGAAGCAGAGATGGATGATAAAGAGGGGCAACACAGACAAATAAAAGCGTGTGTAGGTGGAAGTGAAACTTGTTTTGAAGCAAACAGTGAGACCACAACAACAACGTTCACTTTTGTCTGAGGAAAAGCTGTTTTAAGCATAAGAGACTACTCAGTGAAATGAACACTGCCAAGGCCCATTTGGTAAATAGTCCATTTGAGAAATGGACCTTAATGTGTATGATGCTCAGGTGGAGGCAAGGTGTTGACTCATAATCCACTTGCTGTACATTTCAGCGCCATCTCGAACACAATCACTTCCTCTGCATCTTTGCTGCTTTTTCACACATCATTTCACTCATTGACTGCCTCTCATGCATCTCCCCACAGCAGCACATATGGAGAGACATACACTACAGGCGACTGATTGATCTCTTTTTACTGGTAGATGAGGTTGAAGATGGTTTCTCAGTCTCTCCATATTCCCCTCCACCTTCATCACTCCTCTTTCCTCCCCTCCACCTCGTCATGTTTCAGTGCTCTGCTGGTTCTTACATGGGCCATTACTTGCTTGATTAGTTACAGCAGGACCCTTGCATACTGAACAGAGCAGATGAAAGGAGGAGTTGTGTGTGTGTGTGTGTGTGTGTGTGTGTGTGTGTGTGTGTGTGTGTATGTGTATGTGTGTGTGTGTGTGTGGAGGAGTTTCCTATGTGAAGAGGTAGATACGAACTAAATTAGAGCAGAAAATCTGCAGAAATATTCGAAAATGTAAACAGTTGAAACAGACTTTTCACAGCAGCCATTTTGACATGAAATAGTAGGGTAAACACAGGTATAACTAATGATGCTAATTAAGGTTTTGTTCCATTTAGTGTAGCGGAGCCTTTCCAGTGAGACAACATGCACAATAGCAGCACCCTGACTCCGTTTGACCCGAATGCAGTGTAACCTTAATTAGTATCATTGACAACACCTTTGTTTACCCTACTATTTCATGTAATAATGGCTGCTGTAAAAAATGTCTGTTGCCCTATTTTGGAAATCAGTCTATACCAGGATAAATTCAAACCAGGTGTCATTTAACTCCCAAGATTATTTATCTCAGTTTACCATTTAGTTAACATCAGTGGATCTGTGATAAACACAGAAAGGTTGTTCACCTTTTCACTTGGATAATATTATAGTCAGCAGGAGGAGAGTCAGTTGTCTTTCCACAATAAACACTTGGTGCAGTCGCTGCCCTACATAATTGCTCATCTTGTTGCTTCATTGGTGTAATTTCCATTGAAAATAAAATTTTACCCAAAAATGTTCTACAGATGATACACTTTCATTGTATCCTTGATTATTAAATAATTAATTAACAAACCGAAATGCCAATTTTTATAAAATAATTAATAAAGTAGGTTTTGTTGGTGTTGCTGTTGTAGAAGTGGCTCATGCTCTGATCAATGAGGTCAATTTACAAACTGTGGTTGGATCTGTACATTAGTGCAAGTACAGAATAAGGTTTTAATGCAGGAGTGAAAACAAGGAAAAACATGTCGAGACTAATTTCATGTCCTGTTTTTCTGTGTGGGAGGAAATATTTTAAAAAAAGCTGATAGTGCTGGAAATGGTAACAGTACACCCTTATCACTGTGTTATTTGGGCAGTGCATATAGTATGTGCAAAAACTAACTCTAAGGCACCAAAAGAGACTACAGAGCTGACTGACAGGTGATCCAGCTGTGACACCATCATCATAAAACTGACTTCAGATGACACTTGACTGGAAAGGACATCTCATTTCTCTAAAAAAACGCTTTTCCTCGATTTCTCTCTCCTCGCATCTTTTCCTTGCATCTCTCATCATGTCTTCAGTGGGAGGGACTAAAACACAAGTGAGGGAGATCTGGATGCAATTAAGTGAATTGAGCCGCATCCTGTGACTGCATGAAAAGAGCCAGGCAGATATGAGACAGTTTTCATCTATGACAACCATCATATCCAATGTCCCTGTGTCTCCAGGGGACCTCTTAATTGATTCTGTTGACTGGACTTGCTGCATTTACAACATCATCATTTCAGTGCTTTTCTGCAGCTTGCAAGTGGCTGAAACCCCGATTGGAGTTTCTAATGGATTTTTATAGCAGAAATCGTTGTGTGGCCAAAGCCAACCATGTGTCCCATTGGGAGATGTGTTCATTAAACCTCCCATTGATCCAGGCTGGTTTTTCCCTACTGTGCTGAAGAAAAGTCTTTTGTTTAAAACCGAATAGCGCTGCTATTAACCCCCCGAGGCAGCAGACACTTAAAGCAGCAGTCAACTTTTACGTGAAGTGACTTTTTCATTCCCTGCAGTCTTTTTTGCTCTGGTTTTCAGTCCACATTATTCAGTTTTGCCCTCCTACACTAACTCCTTCTGGATATTTTTCTTGTTTCTCCACCTCTCTCTTTTCCTTCCTTGTTCTTTTAAGTTAGTCGCTTCTCTTTGTTTCAGTTCTTTCCACCCACTCACATCATAGTACACCTTGTGCTCTCTTCTCTTCTCTTCTCTTCTCTTTTCTCGTCTTTTCTCGTCTTCTCTCGTCTTCTCTTTCACCTCATTGATTAAGGTGTTCTTGCCATTTGTTGTTTTTGATTTCTCCATCACTGGATCTATTTTTAAACTACTGATGTTGCAGCTGCAACAGCGGCTTAAAGATCTAACAAAAGCTGGTTCACACTTTAACCTTGTGTCTTTTTCCTATCTCTCTGCAGTCATCCAGCTCATCCCAGGAGCGTCTGCACCAGCTGCCCTTCCAGCCAACCATGGACGAGTTGCACTTCTTGTCCAAGCACTTTGGCAGCACAGAGAGCATCACGGACGATGACGGGGGCCGACGCTCGCCGCACGTCCGCCCTCGTTCTCGAAGCCTCAGGTGAGAGCACTGCGGGTCAGGGGCAAAAGACAGTTTTAGCAAACGAAGACCCTCCCCCATCACCATCACCACCACCACCACCAATCATTTTTGATTATTTAAAAAAAGATGCCATCGTTGCTCAAAGCCTTGTTTGTAAATAGTTGATTTTATCTGGTGAAGAAAAAGAAACAAAACCAAAATTCAGCCTCTTGAGTTTTTATGAAAGGACTTTAAGCTGCCCTTTAAAAATATGAAAGGGAAGCCTCAATTAGTGTGCAGGAACAAGAAGAGATGCAGAGGGCTCTCAATCATTTATTTAGAGCTCAAGCCTTTTTGTTGCTTATCTTGTATAATTCACCTTCTGTGAATGTGTCAGTGCTCTTGAATGCTTCATTTTCTGCCATGTGATGAGAGGAGGGACTCAGTTTATTTGCTCCTTTCATGAAAGACAATAGTTTGCAGTAAAATGTATGAATGAGATGAATTGAAAGTAAAAACAGTTTTCCTGTTCATGTAAATCTACAAAGTGTAGACTTTTTTTCTTCTGGTTTCTCACCTTCCAAGGAAAGCCTTTGTTGCTAATGTGTCTGAATATAGTCTATATATAATAGTATTATTATTATTATATATTAATAAAAAGTAATGGTAGAAGTATTCAGATCATTAAAAAGCACCAATACCACAGTCTAAAATACTCAAAAATATGCATACCAATATACCACATTCAACATCTTACTAGTAAGTAAAAGTACATAAATATTACTGGCAAAATGTAGCTGAAGTATCCAAAGTGAAAGTACTCATTATATATATTATTATACAGTATTTTATATTGGATTGCTTTTAGCAGCATTATTATGTTGTAGCAGATCAATGGGTGGCCAATTCTAACTACTAATTAAAGAAGAATAGGTCTTATGATGAAAACACCAAACCAACAATGAATTGAGTCTATTAACATGTCCTGTTTGTTATATTTGAATATGTATTAATACATATTGTTTGTGTAGCCAAATCTGATACAGTTTATTCCTCTGTGCCACGGACCTCCATTGTTGTCCAAAAACAAATACAAACACATTAATGAGCTAAACTGTTGCACCGGGTGACAAGTCCCTTCATTACCGTTAACACATACACCATCCTGCTGCTGTAAACATTCAGTACAACATCAGATATGTATTCATCCCCAGCAGAAAATAGTCTCCGATAAATGCACTATTTATTCTACTATTTACTATTTAAGTAATGTTGGATAAAAACTACAGTACCCAGAGGATTTAGGAAATTACTGAACCTTTTTAAAAATAAGTGTTTATAGAGTCCTGTGTTAAAGATTTATGTCTTCATTTGGAGTGAATTGGTTTAGGAGTGCCACAAACAGAGTTATTGGTTGGGTCTTTATACATATAATACCGCCTTTACCCTTAAATGATTACTGTATACTGCTGGGTTTATACATCTGTAGCATCATATTTCATAAGCTGATCGTATGTTTTGTAAAAAAGTACAATACCTATTAAGTAGACAGTTGTAGAAAATGGAAATACTCAAGTAAAGTACCACAAAATGTTTATGCAGTACTTGAGAAAATGTACTTAGTTGCCATCCACCACTATCATTATATCAGTATCAGCCCACTTTCCAGCGCTTTAAGCCTCTCCAGAGTACAGCAGTTTGTCTGGTGGACACTCCCTCCAACCACACCTATTATATATAGCACCCCTCAGGATGCAACATGCCCCAACTACATACAACACTTCACTACTAATCAGTATTCGGTTTTCATATTAAGCTTCTCAGCGGTCGCTGCCCTAGATAATAGCCCATCTTGTGGCTTCAGTGTATAGAATGCTTGTATATTGTACCTTGCCTCAGTCTCACCATTCACATCATTCGTATTACTTCTTTCTGTGAAGCTGAACTATAATGTGTTTGCCCACAAGACATCCTTTCATAACCTGCTTTTCTTTTGTGAATGGTTAGTTCAGCACTGCATGACTTTCTATGAGATAAAAGCATTATGTCTTTAGGCTTCTTCTCTGCTACATGTTGATTTTGCTTTGATCTGAGCACGTGAATCTGACGTCTGATTCTTGTGATGGAGGAGCGTGGCATGACGTGCAGGAGGATACTGGATCCATTAGAGAAACTAAACTGAGTGTACTGAATTTGTGATCATTCAATTACCATAATATACAGACTCGACATGCGGGGAAGCAGTGAATTATTCCTTCACTCAAGTGAAAAACACAGAATTGCATCGCTCTGTCTCACAGACTGCATCCCATCACTCCTGCCTTCTTTGATTTTCTCAGTCAGCGCTGTATCTTACACTCCTGCTCTCTGTGTTTGTCTCTCTTCAGCCCGGGGCGCTCTCCATCCTGCTATGACAATGAAATAGTGATGATGAACCATGTCTACAAGGAGCGCTTCCCTAAGGTCAGCCTCACACAAACAAATAAGTGTAAACTATGCATACATACACACATCAAGTACACACACAAACAATTCACATGCAGTCATTGGCCACCTAATTAGCTACACTGAAGGAATCAGATGTTTCTAGTGATTACAGTAGCTGATGATACGTTAAGTGCCACAGGGGGTGAACTTGCATCCAGAACAACTTGTAAACAAGCTATAAATCATTCTCTGGAACAAGGTTTTCCATGCCAAAGCCCATCAAATAGCATTAGCTTATGGCTGGACTCCCCATTTTGACAACACTGTGGCAAAAACAAAAAGCCCAAATTCAAGTTCAAATTATTTCCTTACGTTATTAGATTACAATAATTTAAAATCTTTAATCATTCCATTAGGTTCAGTACTTCTATTTTCCATTTTACACATTGTTTGTTAATTTAGTTTAACATTCAACAACATTTCACGCGTGTTTTGGAGTGAGATCTGCTCATCAGGTTTTTTCCGTTTAAAAAAAAAAAGCTAGCTAGTTAGCTAAATTTAAAGAGCAGCAGACTTGTGACAGGCGCAGACTGCTATCAGGTCAATGCTGACAGTTTATATGATGAATGACATTTGGATTATTATAAATTATATCTTATAATAATATAAGCACTTCCCTTATATTTTCTGAGGCCCCCCTGAGACCCCCTGGTGGCCCCCACACTGCTCTAGAACAGTGCTCCTTATAGTTCGTCCAATGGAAGCAGAACACAGTTAATAGGAGAGTTTTTACTGCGAAAAAACAAAAATATACATAATAAACACAAAGGGTTGATCCTTGGAGAGCAATAACTCTTTGGTTTGTTGGAAGATGTGCACATTTCTACAGACCTGTTCCCTCTGGGATCCAGTGCAAATGACTTCAAGAACAGAGAACAGTGTTGCCACATGCTTTTGAGACTCTTTGAGAGAGGCCGGCTCCAGGCAAACAGCAAATCTGACAGTTCTTGCTAGAGTGAAAGGATTTCACCATAGCCTGGGAAGTAGACAGATGCCAGCACAGTCTTGGCGTAGGAGACTAACATCAGGGACTTAAATCTGATGTAAGCCACTACAGGAAGCTAATGTAGGGAGTGTAGCTGACTTGAGCAACACTAGGGAAGCATCCGGGGATACATATATGTCTTGTTTATATCCGGAAGGATAAACTAAAAAAGTAAACTAGCAGAAAAAAAGCCACAAGCCACAAGGAGAAGCTGAGTCGGAGTGAGATTTGGGGGAATCGATGGAAGAAGTAGTCAGTACCAGCACTGGACCTTGGAGGATGGATAGCAATGGTTCACTTTTGCTCAAAATCTTATTTTTTTCTTCAAATCCTGGATACAATAAAGTCCGGAAATGTTCCTCATGGATCTTGGGATCACACAGGCCCGGAAGACGTTAGTGGAAGCATAATATGTTGCAAACATTACCTATGACCTTACCCCAAAGGTCAAACTACAGACTGTTAGAATGAACCAACATCCCTTAAGTAGTCCTGAATACATCCTAATGCGTTTTCAGAGATTCCCTCATGCATATTTCTGTTGTACTAAGCTGTTATCCCAGTATGTCTGCGACCTTGTTACTTTGAAGGAGGCTTACCAATTCTCCTCTGACCTCCAACATAAAGACAGCTTTTAGTCAGAAGGTGACTGAGGTTTTATTTCACTGTTCTTGGTAAGCTGTTGACACTGCAGTGTGTGAAAACCCTTGGAGGTTGGCCATGTCTGAGACACTAGACCTGACCTATGATTCATTGATCATGAGCTCAAAATCAATTAGATCACGTATCTTGTTCCAGGCCAATATGTAACCAAACTATAAACTAACCTCTTAAACCTGTCTGCATGCGTTATATACTGAATACGTGACTCAATGTCTGAGAGAGCTAACTGTGTCTATGAGCAGGGAAGCGTAAGCCAGGAAATGTAATTCACTCTCGAAGCAGGTTTCCTCAAACACCTGCCTGTACACACACACACACACACACACACACACACACACACACACACACACACACACACACATACCGTCCCCATCATCCTGTGCTCATTCACAGTAATGCATTGTGAAGCGGCGCTAACGAGTCTTCCCACGTACTATTGTGACTGAAGGCTCAACATGGCTGCATCTTCACTGTCATTATACGGAGAATAATTAGCAGTTGTTTACCTGAAATAGATATTTAACGTGAGCCTCAGTTCTGATGTTGTCACATTTTGTTTTAAACATTTGTTACACAGGTGAGCTATAGCAGATTTTGTCAGCATCATTTGGACTGCCTTGAGTTCTCCTCATTAGACTATTCAACTACTCTTTCTTTTATATATTCTTTGTTCAGTGTGACATTTAAAGTGCCTCTAATGAATATTTTTATAATAATGACTGTGAAAACAGTTTGACTATGTGAAATGTTGAACCTACAGATAATTATCACCCGAGTCTACAGTTCCCATCGAGTGACCCATTGTCTGGTCCACAACTTTCCTGTTTTGGTTCACTTTCATTGCTCTTATAGCGTCATTCTTTGCTGTTTCCAGTGAACAAATTCCAGTGTGAACAGCAGACAGGCACAGTAAGCAACCAGCTGGTGAACAAAGTGGAGCCTTTAGCTGCTTAAAAGACTGATATTTCCTTCAGGAGTTGATAGAGACCAAAAAAGTACTTACTGGACTTACATTCGTCAGACTCCAAGTTTCCCTATACTAACTTAAAAGGTAATAATGTCAATATTGTGTTCAGTGCAGCCCTCATGTGGCCAAAAAAATCAGTTATTGTAGGTTTAAATGACATTTGAATGTTTTGTCCCATCCGAGCCACTATATATGTTCGGATGTTTAAGCCAAGTTTGATCAATTAGAAACCAGACATACAGACAGAAGAGGTAGTGAAGGTGTTGTAGCCGGGATGGCCCAGTCCAGGAGAGGAATGGGATAAAATTGCTGCCTTTCTGGATTTGATGTGAAGTCTGTGAGAGTTGATTACATTAACTTCTCAACAGCCGCCTCACAACATTACAGTAACTGACTGTTCACCGTCTTGTATTTAATCAGGCCACGGCTCAGATGGAGGAGAGGCTGGCAGAGTTCATCCAGAACTACTCTCCAGAGAGTGTTCTGCCACTGGCCGACGGGGTCCTCAGCTTCATCCACCACCAGGTAGCTGAGCTGTCCAGGGACTGCCTGACCAAATCACGCGAGGGGCTCATTACCAGCGTCTACTTCTGTGAACTGCAGGAGAACCTGGAGAAGCTGCTGAATGATGTGAGTTTTGACATGGCGGTGTAGAGGAAGGTAAAGGGATATATTTAGCCTCAGTTCAAACTCTGCACCTCTCTAACTGACCCTATCTGTCTGTCTCTCACTCACAACCAGGCTTATGAGCGCTCTGAAAGTTCGGAGCTCACCTTCGTCATTGAGCTGGTCAAAAAGCTCTTCATCATCATATCTCGTCCAGCCAGGCTTCTTGAGTGTTTGGTGAGTTCCATCCTTCTGCTGATAATGCAGACACACACACACACAGACACACACACACACACACACACACACTGATACTCAACACACACTTATACGGATCCACCAAATGAGCATTTATTGAATCAAGTGACAAGATCTTTTTTTACATTCTGAGTGTGTTCTGCTTCATCTGCTGGAAAGACTCCTGTCCTCCCACATGGAGATGGAGGGTGGACTACTTCACACTGAAATGGCATTAAAGGATGAGCCAAAGTAGGGCAGGTTGTCTACTGTGTATTCAGTCTGAAGTGATGAAACACAGGTTTGCTAAGTATGTCACAGTTGGAAGCTGAGCTGTCACTCTTAAAAGGGATACTGAGTTTCAGGCTTTTTAAAAATCGTTTATACTGCATTTGTTTTACTTACTGATGACTAAAAATACCCTTTTTCTTTTCTTTTTTGGTCAATTTTAAATATTTTTTTAAAATCACATTTGGTAGGGGCATAGGGGTATAAAATTAAGATGTATTTATTCACTCATACAAGGAATGCACACTTTATATATTGTATATATTGAAATATAGAAATAAAAAAACCAACTAGTTATGGGAAATATGGGATCCAGCATTTTTGGGACTAAAAGTCAGGATTCTTTTTTTTATCTGTTTCTTCCCCAACTGTATGTAAATGTCATACTGAATTGCTGGAGTTCCCTTTAAGTCTGCGAACAAACGAAGTCTTAGGGATGATTTGTCATGTATTCAAAAAACATTACAAAACAGTAGATAGTAGATATCCAATATGTCACTGAAAAAACTATTGCAGTGGTGGTGGCGTTGGCTCACAGAACATCTGGTGTGTTGTTCACATTCAAACACAGGATCCACAAATCCATTTCAACAATTTATTTCATTCACTTGGTTGGTTATGATTGTTCAGACAGGTGGTCGGTTGAATTTTAGTACGTTCTCTCTTTGTTCTGGGATGGTTTGGAGGGACAAGAGGGGAAATCTGATCTGAAGGCCGGAGATATGTAATCTTGTGGGAGTGGTTTAGTGAGGAGTGGCAGGGATGCAGGTGGGGAGGAGACTTGTGATTTAACACACACGCAATCAGGGTTATTGCCCAGTAGGTTGTCACATATATGGAATTTGTCTTGGTGTTGTGGTGCATAACAATAAACATAGTAATAGAAAGGGAAAAAACAAACTGCAAAAGTCAAGAATCCTACATAGAAAAATTTACCACAAAAAATATGTGAAATGTATGTTGTTTTATAAAGAAAGGAGCTGTACAGATTTGCAGAGATAACAATCCAAAGCTTGTTTGTTAATTTAATGCATTGAGTCAGATGTGGAGACTTAACATTAATGTAACATATAGTGACCATGGGGCAGGATATGAGTGTGTATCAGTGGTGTTGAGGCCAGCTGCAGTCGTGATGAAATGATGGTGAAATGATCAACGTGGGTGCATTCAAAGGTAAACCAGTTGATATGAACACAGTACCAGAATTCTGCTCTTCGTTACGCATTTGTGTTGCATATTTACTATGTTTGCTTACATTTGGAAAAGGCTGTTATGAACGTACGGTATTCTGCATTAGAGGTCATGGTTTTATTTAAGCTGTGTCATTCAGTACTTCAGACATGCTGCATATGTTCATGCTTATTGCCGCAGGATATTTTTGCAGCTTAACTCGAAACTGTAAAATATTCTTTACACATCCACCACTTCACTTCATCAGATCAGCTGGGAGACAGAGACGTGTCCTTGACATGTTGATGTACATAACTCACTTCAACTTACTTAGTAGTAACAAGCTCTCTCTGTATACACTGGAGGATTAGCCATACCTGCATATCAGCTCACTGATTGATGGCCTCACATGTTCGTCATTGGTGTGGTCCCTCCTCCAACCCTCCTGGCTCATCTTTCCGTTGCCAAGACGACCGTCGGAAGAGGTCGATAGGGTCAGGCAGGATGTGGAGGGGACTTAAGATCCTCCTGGCCCTTAGGTTACAGAGGCGAAGACACACACACAGATAAAATTGTTGTCCACGGCTGTAGAGTTGATTTAGTATTCAAGTCAGTTGCGAGGTCTGATTTGGTGAAAATGTCACAGTCAGAAGGCTGTTAGCTGCCAGAATATTATCCTGGAGCAGAGCAAGCTATCAGAGAGGCAGGTTAATTCCCCCCCTCCGTACTTTCTCTTTTTTTCTCTGGTTGAGGGGAGCAGATATGAGAGAGCAGGGGAAGAAGGAAATGATCCCGACTGCCCCTGGCTCTGCTTTCTAATCAAAATGTTATTCCACCAACAGGAATGAAACCGAATCCCACAGGACACCACAAAAGGCTGTTTCATTGGAAAAAAAAGGATGTTTCAAGAAAGCAATTTAAAGTTTGGAGGTGTATTAACACTGATTGTGTTTGTTTGACAACCCCATAGCGGTGTTTGGTCATGAATTTGCAGCAGGTTGAAGTAAATCCTAGTTTTGTGATTATAAGTTGGCCACAATTGGAATTTCTTTGATGCATGTTTGTGGTGTTCAGTTCAATAACGGTCATCCTTTGTTAGCTGTTATCACTTCTCTTTGTTACCGCTAACTAGGAGGTTAGTTATCATGGTTCAATACTGATTATAATAATGATTTTTTTTTCAACCGTATAGCTGAGTAAGATAAAGGAATATCTTATCTTATCTTACTCAGCTATAGGGTTGAAAAAATAATCATTGTGATGTACTGTGATACATTCTTTTGTAATATGCTATCAACACATTAACACCAGTGCCAATGGCCATTTTTGATGATAATGAGAATATTTGGGAGAATAAAACAACAACTCTGATAAGAACAATATCATGAAGAGATTGTTTTTTGGTTTTCCTATGGTACGGACATTTGAACTCTAAACTGTTCTGCTTTCTGAACCTCATTTGAACCTTTTGCAAGTTTTGCATTAATTTGTGATTATATATAATACTGTGAAACTGAATGCTGATTGTTGCATAGGACATGCGTTTAATACAGTCAATAAATTGATTTGTCAATCCACATAAAATGAATTAGCAAATTTTATTATTTTTTAAGCAAAAGTGCCAAACATGTACTTTTTACTAAATGTGATAGTAAATTCAAAGTCTTTGGTTTTTGACTGCTGGACAGAAATGCCACCTTGGACTCGTGGAAACTGTGATGGTTGTCTTTAGACCAACAATTATTCTATTAATTGAGAAAATAATCATTAGTCACACCCCTAAATAATGCTTTTTATAATTATTTTTTTACACTATATTATATTCAGTTGACTCACATCACACTATATCATGATACCATCATTGATTTTTGGGCAAAATGTCATAATAGTTTTATATCATGATGAGTTACCTACAAGTTACCAGTCTTACAGAGCAATTGTTTAAAATCATTCAGTCCCTTTTTCTTGAACTCACACTGAAATCTATTTGAGGATCACTGAAATAATGCAAAGGGATTGTTTTCCTGATCAAATACTTCAACGGCAGCAAGTGTTTTTAAGTAACAATTATCTGTGTTAACAGGAGCTTATTAGAGTTTTGTGAATTCACTTGTAGAGGTGTTACGGCTCCAGCACTAGTCTTCAGACCTTTCTAAAGGTGTGAAAACTCTGGACCTGAATGTATTTTATATTGCTAAATTTGAAATGAGCAGTGATAGTTTTCTATCTGTCTCACCCACTCTACATTGTAGTATCTTTTGGAGGTACCTCTGAAAACTACATTTAAATTCTTTTGACTGATGGTAGATATTTAACTATGGCAGCTTAAGCTTTAAGGTGCATTTATATTGTAGTTTCCTTTGACACTTCAATCTGTTTCTCCTCCAATGAAAGGAGTTCAACCCTGAAGAGTTTTACCATCTGCTGGAGGCAGCGGAGGATCATGCCAAGGAGGGACAACTGATGAAGGCAGACATCCCTCGATACATCATCAGCCAGTTGGGGCTGACCAGAGACCCACTGGAGGGTAAGAGAGAGTTTTTGATTTGTTGCTGTGCCTTCTCTTAGATATTGGCTGGTCCCTCCTTTATATTTATATTGAATTCGAACAAACCACAAATGAAACACACAAAACAGAACACTTGAAGGAATAGTTGTACCTTTTCAGAAATATACTTATCCATTTTGTTCCCCAGAGTTGGACGAAAAGATTGACACCACTCTCATATCTCTGCATTTAGTACATAGCTGGAGCCAGGAGGTGATTAGCTTAGCTTAGCATAAAGACTTGAAACAGTGGGAAGTAGCTGTGTAGCCTGGCTTTATCACAAGTAAAAAAAAAAAAAAAAACCCTCTCAAGCTCAGAAGATAACAAGTCGTATCTTGTTTGTTTGATCAATACAGAAGCAGTACAGGAAGAATGACAGTTTGTGGTTTTGAGTAATGTGCTTGTTGGCCAAAAAATAGTTACATCCTGTCACTTCTTCTAAAACCACAGCTTATTGTTTTTACTGGAGCGTGTTATTTAATGAGCTTTAGAGGTGCTAGTAGGTGAATAGCTGCTTGCTCCTCATGCTTCCACTTTAACTAAGCTAAGCTAACCACCTCCTACCTCTACCTCCATACCTAATGGACAGACACGAGATCAATCTTTTCATTTAATGCTCATCAAGACAGCAAGCAAGCTTACTTCCCAAAATTCAAACTATTTCTTTAAGCTTCTTTGAGTTAGTTATTGTAGTTTCACTCTGACTTGGCCCATTTATCAACATGATCAGCAGTTGGAGCAGCGACAGTCACTGTGAGTTACAGCTAATGGAGGGAATTAAGGAATTTTTTAATATTTATTTTAGAATCCTTAACACCTCATTGCCGCAATTTGCATCAAAATGTATATTCCCTCTTGGAGTCACAACTCAAAGTCAAATTTAAATACACAGACGTATTCAATTTTCTTCAGTATCAAAGTAATCTGATGATAGTTGTTTGAACATCTATACGTACTACTACTATATAATTCTGCATACTTGTAATGATGCCAATTTGCCAACATATAAAGAAATGTAGGCAAATAAATAATTGGGGCTCAAGATGTATCCCACAGCTCACTTACTGACTCCATGGCAACATTATTCTGATACTGTTTATATCCACTAAAGCCCCCAAATGATGGAAACCGTAGAGCTTGATTATTATTCTTATATAAATAAGACAAACAATAATAAAACCCCATTAATATTCACTTTTTTTCATGTTGCACTCTCCTCTATTCATTCATATACAGATATCTGTTGTGTTAAAAACCTGTGGACATGCAGACAAAAAACATTTAAAATTGACTTAAAATGCATTACGGTATTGATCAGCGTTACTGGAGGATATGGGAGATGTAGAGTTTAGACCGGCTGGATCATTAGCTGGCTGGCAGTGCGGTGACATCACTGTCTATCATTAATCATCATGGCTCAATCTCGGGCCCCAAACTCACAGTTCTAATCCGCATCTGCTCAGCCGCTCCCAGTCTAATCCATCAAGAGCTGTTCATTAGCTGATGGGTTAAATGATCCGGAATGACTCTTCACAATAAACTGCTGCGGTTTTATTTCTGAATTCATGAAAAATATGGGCCTGCTAGGTCTTTCTCAGTTAATCTCTGCTAACAATGTGCCACCTGATATCTTGATCTTGCACTTTCTTTTGCACCTTCATTGTCATGCATAGACACACATGCACACCCACGTAGCTGCTTGCACCTCCACACTTTCACACTCTCATTTCTTTTCATAGAGACAAGATCAGTTGTTTTCAGTGTCAAATAGAAACCGACAGAATATTCGATTGTCAGCTCAGTGACTTTTATTTTACATGATGTTAATGTGTACAGAGCGGCTTTGCAAAGTTAATTACTATTCATTTATTTCCTTGTTTTAACAAAACACTACCGCACTCAGTGTATTCTAGCAGCTGTCACATACAAGAGTGGAAGAACACTGAAAATTAGCTGCCAGTGTTGCTCAAGGAGGGAGGAAGTACAAAGTGAGAGGGAGGGAGAGCTGAAGGAGACAAGACAAATTAATAGGAAGAAGCTATTTTAATTCTCATGTTTTTCTTTCTGTGATCTGACACATTTGGCCCTTCAGCTGTTTTGAAACTTGAATAGCTGTTTTGTTAAAGATGTCTGAGCAGCTGCAAATTTTTTATCTGCTTACAGCAGCGTGGGAGGCCCACTGTTTTAGCATGAAAAATGGCTCTCTTCGTTTTGACACCAGGTTTGCTTGTTAACTAACATGTTTCTCAACAGAAATCGTGAGCCTCGACAGCTATGACAGTGAGGGTCCACATACTCCAGAGACCGATGACTCAGCAGAGGTGAAACTCAAATAAACACAGACAGATCTGTGTGTTTACATGCATTCACATACAGTATGACTGACTACACACAAACACAAACACACACACATACACACACACACACACACACACACACACACACACACACACACACACACACACACACACACACACACACACACACACACACACAGGTATCAAAATCATCAAAGAAAGAAAGACATTTGAGCATCTGAACAGTTCCTTTAAACCGTCCTTTTGTTGATTTTAATTTCTTTTAATGTTGAATGTGTCACCAGGGGAAAGGGAGAGCCATCAAGCCACCAAGTGAAGAAGATTTTCAGAGTATCAAACTAATCAGCAACGGAGCTTATGGGTAAGCAGTGGATTGATCAGGATTTTCTTTTTTTACATTAAGTAGGCCTTGTGTTGACTTTCTTTCCTACAAACTGCTGTTTCCAAAGTCAACAAATCACAATCATCCTCAATATTATATAGTACTTTTCATGCAGACTTCAAATACACACTTTTTAATTAAGAATTTATAAAAAAAAGATCAATAAAATATGCTACACAATAGTGGAGACTGGAATAAAACTGCTAATAAATCTTTTACTACTACTACAACAACACTGTACTAATAATAATAATAACATGATGAGGCCGTATTCTGTGGAAAAGTGTCAGTGGTAATATAACATACACAACTTATAATACATTTGTTTAAACATGAAAACGGACTAATATGTCTCCTGAAGCGTAGATAATAGCTACAATAGATGCACATTAGAACACACACCCCCAATTTGAGAGGATTTTGTCTTAAGGAATCCCCTCTGAGCATTTGTTTTAATTTTTAGGTTTGAAGATAATGAAGTCTTCATAGTCAATGAATGATCAAACTAGGATAATTTTAAAATAGAATCAAACAAAACAGCCAACCTCAGTTCTTCCCTTGTTGTTCCAACTTCCAAAAAATGTGTTCCTCCTTTTGCCGGGGACCCCCTACAACTCACTCAAGGACTCCTTTTGGTTCCTGGATCCCAGTTTGAAAACCACTGGTCTAATTATCAGAACTATGCTATTTATTGTTCAGTAAGATAAAAGCAGAAACACATTTTTATAAACATGGACGAGGTACAACTTCACTATTTACATGTGATACATTTACAATTACTTAAAAAATACATTTATCAGGATAAACTTCAGCATTTTTTTCTTTATTCTGCCATTTGCTGCATAGAGATACTTAAAAGCAAAAAATAATTAGATTATCAGATGTGATATCCTTCCAGTTCTTAGATCTCCTGACTTTATAATAGTCTCACGGCTGTCTCACCCTGCTGTCCTCCCTCCATACCTCATCTTGGCACCACCATGCCCTTCAGTTTTCACTCTTGGCTCTTCTGTCTTGCCTTCTTTCCAGCGCCGTCTACCTGGTGCGCCACAGGGAGACACGTCAGCGCTTTGCCATGAAGAAGATCAATAAGCAGAATCTGATCCTGAGGAACCAGATCCAGCAGGCGTTCGTAGAGAGGGACATCCTGACCTTCGCAGAGAACCCGTTTGTCGTCTCCATGTTCTGCTCCTTTGAAACGCGAAGACATCTGTGCATGGTCATGGAATATGTTGAGGGTAAGGGAAGTTGGATTTGGTTTTGTCAGCACACTTCTTGCAAACTTTTATTACGCTGAAGGGTGTTTAGGATTTATGAGACCCATCAGAACGGGTGACGTGGTCTTCTCTGGTTCAGTTTGCCCTTCATTTTTCTGTGTCTGTGTGTTTTCTGAGTATTAGATCAGGTTTCTATCTGATTTGTAAAATAACAACAACACTTTTCAGCCTTTTCTCCCTGGCTCATATTTCCTAATTTAGCACTTCTCTACACAGCTTTTAAATCTTCTGTCTGGGTGCTGTGGCCCTGAGTGTAGCAGCACTACTTTTTGTCTGTAGTGACCTTAAAGCTTAAGCTTATTCAACTGTTGCATTTAACTTATTTAATTCTGAATAAAAGTGTCAGCCAAACACCTGAATATCAAATTATGGTTTTGTGTGCTCAGATTATGGAAATGAAAGTAATATGGTGAAGTATAATCACTCGCTTACATTTCCAGAAGGGCAGATGAGACTCTTATTTCACTATCACAGTGATTCTCAACCCTGAAAGTCAAACAGGGTCAGTAGACTCACACTGATGCTCCAGCCCTACTCATCTTCCTCCCCAGTTGTGCTGAATTTTCTGGAGGGCAGGTCAGGACAGTGCTGTGGCTCTGGCATCAGCAGCTCTTACGTTGGTGCACAGGACACACTGAGGCATGAAGAGTATTTGTGAATGACTCATGTATGATGACACTGCCTAACAGGGTTTATTGGGTGCAATGGTGGATTTTGTGTCTAAAAAAAGAATAGAAGAACAGAAAATAAAATGTTTATACCTATTGATTAGAACAAAAATAAGAATACTATTAATATTACTCACATATTGTGAAGCCATTCTGCCTCATTAGAGGATCTAATTATGTCCTCTCGTGCTTTTTTTGGTGACTCTCAGTAACAATAACGTGTGGTGTTCCTGTGTTCTCAGGTGGTGACTGTGCCACGTTGCTGAAGAACATCGGGGCTCTGCCTGTCGAGCTGGCAAGGATGTACTTTGCTGAGACTGTTTTAGCCCTGGAATACCTTCACAACTATGGTATTGTCCATAGAGACCTCAAACCTGACAAGTGAGTGTTTAAAGCTGCACTAATCAATATTTTTTTATTAAACACTGGTTCAAAAGACTGTGTGTAATGTGAAACGGGTTGCTGCATCACCCAACTGCAATTCCTTTCAGCTCTAACAAGTTTTTTTGTGTCGTTCATGTCATTGTTTTGGTTTTTCAGTCCAAACCTGACTCCAAATTAATGATAATGTTGGTCTGTAACAGCTGCATATGGAAATAAGCATTTGTTTGCTGACAAATTGATCATTACAAGTGTATAAGGTGATGTCATCGTTTGAGTTTTTTGCTTGTTCTGCTGCCCCAAGTGGCCAAAAATCAATTAATGCTGCTTTAAAATTCTTGTCTGGTGTCAGAGAAGATAAACTAGTATTTACCACTTTGCCTTATGGCGGTACCAGCTACCAACACTTAGTTCCCACTCAAGAAAAGGAGGCAGGTCTTACCTACATTACAGCCCCACTCTGGGGGTACTCTGGCCCACAGACAGAAACTTGAGGGATGAGGGTTATCAGTCATTCCATCAAGGTCTCAACGAAAAGTCACTCTGTGCATTCATCTGCAGCACGCCAGTCTCATGTGTCCATACCTCCACTGTAGCACTCTCCCCCTGGAGTATTATAGTAAGACCTGCCCCACTGAGAACGGCAAACAAGCGAAAACAACAAATGAAAACCCGTGACCATGACATAACTTTCAAAATGACCACATACTCAATTATATAGAGAGAGATATTTTATTGACAGAATTTAAACTGTTGAATGCCTCTTTTCTCTCTCCGAATAGTCTACTGATCACCTCCATGGGACACATCAAGCTTACAGACTTTGGCTTGTCGAAGATGGGTCTAATGAGCCTCACCACCAACCTGTATGAGGGACACATTGAGAAAGATGCCAGAGAGTTCCTGGATAAGCAGGTACAGTCCGTAACCTAGTAACTGCAAGTATGGAAGGTTTTTGGAAAATAATTGCAGTACTTTATCATTATAAAAGAAGAAAGGCTGCAGACATTTTATCAGCAGATGTATGAATGAGGTCTGTGTAATACAAAATTAGTGCAATTCAAAGATCGGATGTATGGTGGATGAACAGGCGACTGGCATTCACAGCATCTTTTAGTCTTCTCCAGCCATGCATACCAACTTGCCAAGTCACCCGGCAATATCAATAATCTCCAAATAAAGACATTGCAGTACAATGCTTCCTGTGTCGTCTGAATGAGGGAATCATTAATGCTCTCCATCTCCATCACAATACCATTTTGCAATTATAGTTTATTGTTTATGCTCTGAATTAAACCAGTCATAATCAGTCAGATTGGCCGTGTGTCCACCAGCTCTTCTGGGTGGAAGCAGACATCTGTTGTCTGCCAGTAATCAACTCACATCTGCGGATGAAACAGACCAGAGCTTTGCTTTTCATGTTTCTAGTGGAGATTGTGATTAGGAGAGTGTTTCACATTCACTCAGTAATGATGTCTCTGTTGTGTCAGACATCATGTGTAACCACACACACACACACACACACACACACACAAACGCCAACACAAATGCATAAATTATATATTCACCTTCAGATCTCCTGAACAACATGTATGTGTGACTATTTGAATGAAACCTTGAACATTATTTCCATTGTACTGCCTCTAGTATTAAATGGTTAGTTTGTTAAAAAAAAAAGAAAAGAAAAGAACAAATTCACACTTTACTACAAGTGGAATTCAACCTTGCAGATATTCAGGTAACAAGTTCCCAGTTACCTGAAAGGTATACAGAGCTTGCTGTGAACAGTTTTTAGTGTTTTAGTTACTCATCAGTCTAAATAATCGGACATTGCACTGTATCCATATCTGGAAAGGCGCAAACAGTTCCTCTCGGCTTTGAATTCTCAGCAACAGAGATCTCAGATTAAACAAAAACTGTCTGAATGACTAGATAGGCCTAGGGGACATTTTTTTTTGTGATTTGGATAAATTGAACATTTAAAGTCCCCCTCCTCAAAAATGTGTTTCATTTGGATGTTTAAGCTTCACTGTGCAGAATGATGTATGTGCAGGGTTTGACACCAGAAGGTTATTTTCACATTAATCTTCTGAAAAGGAAATGTTTCTGTGTGCTCAAATTAAATCTGTCTGGAGGGAACCTTTAAAGAATATTTCAAGAAAATGGCCTATGATGAATGCACTGTAACTCAAATAGGTTGGATTTCATGACATAATGTTTCCTAGATGCCAGCAAATTTAGTTTGTCAAACACCTCCAACCTATCCTTCTCTCCCTCTCTATTCCCTTCTTTTCTTTCTTTCTCTTCTCTTGCTTCCACCTTTCCTCAATCTCTCAGGTATGTGGTACTCCAGAGTACATCGCTCCAGAGGTGATTCTCCGTCAGGGCTATGGGAAGCCAGTGGATTGGTGGGCCATGGGCATCATCCTCTACGAGTTCCTGGTAGGCTGTGTGCCTTTCTTTGGAGACACTCCGGAGGAGCTGTTTGGACAGGTCATCACAGGTTAGAAGATTTAAACCTATACTTACCTTACCTATGTTACCTTCTTTTAAGACTCTCAAACTGCACATTTTTAGCACTCGAAAGCAAACCACAAAAGCTGTACAGTGTATTTTATTTTATCTGGGTTTCAGGGTTACTGTCTTTCTTTATAGTAAGAGGTTCATAGTAAGTGTACTACACTATTTTACCACCACTACCACAAAGTTTAGAAAACAAATGATGTATGCTTTAAAGATCATACCATGTATCTCAAGCATGTGATGCAGTTTGAGCAGAGCTTTTAAGACTAAAACATTTTGAGAACTGCGCCAGAATAGTTTTCTTCCATGATTAATATTTATTTTTTCTCTGGTGACATGTAGATATTACGGGCAGTTCTGCAGTAGTTTGGACTAGCCTTAATCTTGAAAACTATGAATACAAATTGAATTGAATACTTCAACAGGATGCCATTCCTTTTTCTCTTTGACCTTTTGCTTTCTCTTTGTTGTCTGTCTTAGACGATATAGTTTGGCCAGAAGGTGATGACGCCTTGCCTGCAGATTCCCTGGCCCTCATCTCCGCCCTGCTGCAGACCAACCCTCTTGTGAGGTTGGGTACAGGTACTAACTCTTCTGTTTATTTGTTATCAAAGCTCTCATCTGCAGACATTTTGCATCTGTATTAGAAATGAATAGTGCCATTAATGAGAACTTATCCAAGAAGCACTCAGGCTTGCATACTTTATGTTAAAACATTATTGATTAAGTTGTTCTATAGAATGAACTCAGCATTCCACAAATATGACTTTATCCATATATCCAGTCATTTTGCGCCAATTATTTCGGTCATCGGTCATGATGGCGGCAGGCTAAGCAAGTTAGTCCAAATGTTTGTATCCCCAGAAATGTCTTCCAGCTCCCTGGTGAGAAATATAATACTTCCAGTCTGACCTCCAAAGGGCTGCCATCAGGAGGCATCCTTATCAGATGCCTGAACCATCTCAACTGACTCCTTTTGACTCAAAGGAGCAGTGGCTCTACTAACAGCTCGCTCTTTACCCCGTCTCTAAGTATGAGCCAGCCGCTCTACGACGGAAACTAATTTAGTGCTTGTAGCTGTGATCTTATTCTTTCCGTCACTTCTCACAGGGTTGGAACGTAGCCTGAGGAAATACAACTATTTTACTATTAATATTTTTAAACCTATATGAATTTTTGACCAACTCTTGGCAGCGCAAAAAACACAACATTGCCATAAAAAAAAAAGCTTAGCAACCAGTAGAATTTTTTTTTACAAATCCGGTAGACATGGAGCAACATTATTTTGAGATGTGTTTCTTGCCACTTGATGAATGCGAGTCAATATTCCTCTCTCTTTTATCTCTTTTTTACATCTCTACCAACTTCTAAAGGGAAATATCGGGCTTTTTAAGCTGCTAAATGCTTTACTATGTTTACCAGCTAGTTACTCATTTTGACTGTTTGCTTAATCGCTCTGTAGAGCTGAGGAAAACTGTGGGGCGATAATCTCTAAGTTTGTCACTATGAGAGGCTCCTTCCACATAAAATTGTCATGTGATCCACTTTTATAATATAAAAATATTGATTTAAGCACCTTTAAGAATACTGTGCAGCTGTACTGTATTTTGAATGAGGCTGACAGGTTGCGTTGTTTGTGCCCCTGCCACCAGGTGGAGCGTTCGAGGTGAAGCAGCACTCATTCTTCACAGAGCTGGACTGGAACACTTTGCTGAGACAGAAGGCAGAGTTCATCCCTCACTTGGAGTCAGAGGAGGACACCAGCTACTTTGATAGTACGTTCCTCTGGATTTATGTGTCTATAAAGTACAGCAGTTACATCAATATTAGGTTTATGGGTTGTACAATAATTTTCCGACACCATTCCAGTCACAGATATAGATTTTATGTTCAACTGATGGCTCATATATTTCATATCCTCTCTCACTCCTTCCCTCGCCAGCCCGCTCGGATCGCTATCATCATATCAATACATACGACGAGGACGACACCAACGACGATGAGCCTGTAGAGATCAGACAGTTTTCTTCCTGCTCCCCTCGCTTCAGCAAGGTTTGACTTTGACCTCTCCTCTTTCATCTCTCTCTTACCCTCGCTGTCATTCTAACTCTGTTTTCCTTTTTTTCTTTCACTGTGTAAGCCTGTTACATTTTGTCACTTCATTTGACAGGATTAGATGAGGAAGGAGAAAAGAGTCTTAGATGAAACGAGGTCTTACTGTACAGAGAGTAGCACCTGGAGGCTAGACTCAGGTCTCATACATGGAGTTCAGAAAGTCTTACCGGGCTGTTGCACCATCCCTTCTCATTCCTCTTGTCTGTCTATTTTAAGCCACTCAGAGGCCCATGTACCTTTAATGCCCTTTGCGCTACTTTTCTACAGATGTGTGTTTAATGACCCACACAGTCTTTCATCCTTATTTAATTTTTCACATCCACTCCTTCAATGCCCAGATCTCTTTTAATTCTGATCTGTGACTCCCCTCTCTCTCTCTCTCTCTCTCTCTCTCTCTCTCTCTCTCTCTCTCTCTCTCTCTCTCTCTCTCTCTCTCAGCGTGCCAGCGTGTTCTTCTTCTGTCACACATTTCCTCTCGGGTGGGATTTTCTCGCCTTGTGTTGTCGTGCTTTTTTTCTCCTCTCTCGACTCTCCCACTTCCATCCTCTCTCGCTCGCTCTATCTTTCACCTGGGCCATCCTCTCATGTTTGGGTTGTGAAGTTGTGAAGGAGCTCTTGAGAAAATCCAAGTGCCTCATTGAGGGCCCAATTTCAATTAAATTTGAGATGTTTTTTGAAGTTACAGTTTAGGGCTTTTGAGTGGCCTCACTCAAGCTGCTGAATACACACACATAAGGAGGTGTACAGCAAACCCACGTATTTGATTCGTTGTAATTTATTAATGAAGAGCTGCAATGATTAGTCGATGAGAGAAAATTAAAGAGCAACTATTTTGATAATTAATTATTTGAGATTTGGGAACCCCTGTCCTATGTTATATTGCTGCACTGTACTATAAACTATATTATATTATATACACTACATTTCACCTCTTATATCCTATACTATATTATATGTTACTATATTATGCTAATATATTATACTATACTGCTATATCTTATTACAATATATACTATACTGTATTTCTATTTCTATTCTATATTTATATGGATACAGACAAAGACTAAGTATCATTACTTAATCACATTAGATATAGGCTGGTGTACACTGTTTACATATACTAGATTTATGACTTTGTCGCTATTAATAACACCTTTTTGTCTTGTAATTTAGTCCTTCATTATTATTTTACTTATTACTTATCTTATCTTAGCTTAAAATCAGTCCCCTTTAAGGAATATGGCACTCCCCTACTGGTCAGACATAGTCTTCTAAAAATTAGGCTCACCATTTTGTTTATGTTTATGTTTATGTTCATGCTACCTTGCTGTAAAAGGAAGATATATTTGAATTGATCTGAGGAAAATCCACATATCAATACTGCACAAATGCTGTATACTATACAACTGTGAGCCTGATTCATACCAAATATAAATAATTACAGCAAACAAATATATAGCTGTTACCTCCACCCACTAGCTGTATTTTCCCAGATATTTTAATAACTGCTAACAGACCAAATGATCATTGATCTGACTGTGTCCCCCTGTAGGTGTACAGCAGCATGGAGCATCTGTCTCAGCTGGAGCAGAAAGCTACGAGCTCTGTGTCCCGTCGGGAGCACAAGGGCCCGCGGGAGGACAAGGTGACCAAGAGAGAGAGCCTGGGCAGCTTCAGCATGAGAGACAAAAGCTGGAGGACCGGGTCCCCGGAGATGTGAGTAGAGGGCATTGGTGAATGATTGGTTTTTTAGAGGCATGTTTGTGAATTTTGTATGTAAGTGCGGTGGGGTGTTCTGTATACTTGAGTGAGATAGGACTGAGGGTGTTCAGAATGTGTTTCCCTGAAGGTGATTCCTCTTTCAGCAGCCTAGCTGTCACATACCTCAGTGTCCCTGAATAACTGCTTTCTATCTCACTGACGCCAATTTCGACACTTCTTGTGCAAAAATAACTTTTTTGTGAGAGTTCACACTCACTTTGACTCAACAACAGGGAGCAGATCCCACCTCTCCAAAGTTTGGAAACTAGGAAAAGTGGAATTGATTCATATATTACCAAATATATATATAACCATGTGTAAACAACCAATATGTCTCTGATGTGTCAGTTTTTATGATTTGTTGATAAAAAATGCAAATGTTGCTGCTTGTCTCATTCAAATACAGTGCACAATCTTCCAATTCAGTTACACAAAAGGATAATTACTGGTACTTTTAGGACTATTGAATACAGGTGGTTTAATGCTATTTGTACACTCAATAGGGAAGTTGTTAACTTAGAGTTATTAGCAGACATGAGGAGACCTCTCATTAACTTGAATGAATGCTTTTGGGTTTTAGCCCACCTAAATTAAAAATGTACTCATCAGGGATCTAGATTCATTAAACATAATCCTGCTCTGTTACTATGCTTGCCATGCTTTGAGGCAGCTTACAAAGACTACAACCTGCTGGGTCCAGACTACATGTTATTAACTGACACATTTCTGATTGAGAGATATGAGATATTACTGAAACAGATTTCTATTACTTCCCATAACTCCATTTCAACTCAATCTTTAGGAAGCATATGTCTGAATTTAAATCCCTCCATATTCATATGTAAAATAAAATCAGTCATTCATACATTCTGCATTCATAATGGTTAGAAAATTTGATACGGTGACTCTTCATGTATTACTTTACATATTGGATTTTCCCTCTTCCATATCTAGTATGAATTATCAGTATCTCGCAGCAAAGATTACTTTTCAGCTGCAGCTCATTACATTCATTAATTTCTTTAATTTAAGGTGCCCTGTGGAGTTTTCTTGTAAACAAACAAAGGTTTTGTTTACATTCATTGTTACTCACCAAAATGCAGAGCATGTCCTTGAGGTCTAACAAATGTGAATATATTTCCCCCCTCAAACATTTGCAAAGCCGATTTCCTTAAAAGATTAAATCCTTTTTTCTTACACCCATGTTTACTAGCAAGCTTCTTCTATCCTGCCTTTGCCAGCATATTGTGTCTTATCCTACACGTTACCTCCTCCTGTTGATCAGTTGATGGTAGGAATGCTTGCACATACACATGTCCTTGTGCATGCACAAGACAAACAAGAGACCCACTCTTAGAAAAACTGCTCTATTGCGCTACTAGAGGTCAGAACCTCCACAGATTACCTTTAAAGAAATAGTGTTAATGGAACAAAAACAGCAGTTCATCACGTCATCAGACTGTAGCATTAAGCATTAAACTTGTCCATCATCAGCGTGTTAACATTGTCTCTGTGAACATGTTTGCATGCTGACATTCACATTTACCCCAAAGCACGACTGTGCATAAGCAAAGCCAACTGAGCCACTAGCATGGCCGCAGACTCTTGTTGGATAATGGATTCTTACTAAAACATTGTTTGCGTTATCTGATGTGGTTGTTTCTGTGTCCTCCTCTTGCAGGAAGCGCCTGTCTTGTTCAGAGTCCCTCTACATGGAGGGGGATGCCAGCCCTCCCCTTGGTGCTCGCCGACGCTTCTCAGCACTGATGGATACACATCGTTTTGCCTCACCCCTAGACGGTGAGCCAGACTTCCTGTCCCGCCAGGTGCCCATCAAGGTCCGTGGAACCTCCCTGGATGGGACCAGCGTCCCCTCACCAAGCCTCCTGGAGCAGAGGAACAGTCTGAAGGAGATCAATGGAGCAGGTGTGTTAGCAGGGGGAACTGTCTGAGGTAGTGAGGTTGTGAGGGTAGAGAGGAAAGGAGAGGGAATCTGTGAGCGGGCAACAGGCAAAGTGATAAAGAATAAATCAGACAGAAAGCAGTGGTTTGACAGCGGAGGAGGTGAAAAGGCAACCTGTAATAACTTATTAGATGGCTGCTGCTAACTGAGTGGGCTGCTGGACAGTTCTTAACCCTGCTATTTCCACCTCTAAATGCTGCTTTAAACTTAAATAACTATAATTTCCACCTGACTATATCCTCACAGACAAATCCCCTAGACATGGAGAGACACCGGGAGTTGCCACGGCCATCACCACATTATCCCCAGGTCCTGCAGCAACCGGTCGTGACATGATGACTCCTCTGTATGACCCTCTGGGACCCCGGGCCACCAATGACCTTGTCCTCCGCAGGGCGCGGCATCAGCAGTTGTCTGATGGAGAGAAACGCAACTCCAGACCTGGAAACAAAGTCACCAAGTCAGCCTCTGCCACAGCCCTGTCTGTCATCATACCATCAGGTGAGAGGCACAAGGAAAGAATAGAATGAAATCCTTTTGAAAATATGAATTTGTGGTATATCAATAAAGTAACTAATTTCTTACCTTACTCCTTGCGTGCCTCCAGTGGAGCAGCATGGCGGCTTCTCTCCGCTGGCCAGTCCCATGTCTCCCCACTCTATCTCCTCCAACCCCTCGTCCCGTGACTCTTCACCCAGCAGAGACTTCTGCCCAGCAGTCAGCGTGCTGCGCTCTCCCATCACCATCCATCGCTCTGGAAAGAAGTACGGCTTTACTCTCAGGGCTATCAGGGTCTACATTGGAGACAGTGATATCTACAGCGTGCATCACATTGTTTGGGTGAGAAACCTTTAGTTTGGAGATGTTTTGCACTGGGGCTGGAACTAAAGCTTGTGCTGTGACTTTTGAGTGTGTATTTTTAAAGCCAGGCATTAAACAGGGACCAGTGAATTAAAGAAAGTGCAAAAGAAGATGAAATTTCAGCAATATCTGAAACTGTTGAAGAGTTGATGATTGATGAATTGATGCATTGGCAGCACGTGGAGGATGGTGGCCCCGCCCAGGAAGCTGGCCTGTGTGCCGGTGACCTCATCACCCACGTCAACGGGGAGCCTGTCCATGGTTTGGTCCACACTGAAGTGGTAGAGCTTATCCTCAAGGTAGGCAGCAGTAGGTTTATTCATTCTCAATTTTACTGTGTATTGGTAATATCAATATGTCTGCGTTTTCTATTTCTTAGTCCATTTAGTTGTCTATTTATAAGTTGTTTTAAGAGAAGGCCATTCATGTACCATTCATGAAGTGCTTGCAGCTCCCATGTAGTTTAGTTACACTTTAATTATTTCAAATACACATTAAATTTGCTAAAGTGAAAAGTTGGTTTTGTTGGTCAGTTATTGTAGGTGACTGGATAATTGTAAGCATTAGTGTAGAAATCATTTAATGTCATTGATCTGTGCAGAGTGGAAACAAGGTGACAGTGACAACCACACCTTTTGAGAACACCTCCATTAAAGTGGGTCCCGCCCGCAAGGCCAGCTACAAGTGTAAGATGGCCAGACGAAACAAGAGGACCATGGGCAAGGACAGCCAAGACAGGTAGGATCTTACACACCTACACCACTGCAGTGTTACTGATGTCTTAGATGATGTCTTGTCTCACAAGCTGAAGTATAATACAATAGTAAAGGAGTTTGTCGGTTTTCTCTTACATGCAGTGTAACTTCCTCTGTGTTTATCTGGTGATACGAGAGGCAGTGGTTTTGCACATTTTAGCCCATTAATTACAAATACTGAATACTTTACATTGCTGTTGAGGATATCATAGTTTTAAGGTTACTTTGATGTATTCCAAACATCAGTTTCCAATCCTTTCTTTTTTCAGTTATCAGTGATGTTGCAAGTAAACATTTGACACTTGAGACTGGGCACACCAAAGTTTTAATGCTGCTGGATCTGATTCTCCAACTGCACAGCTCATGAATTTCATGCTTTTTGGTAGTTGACTCTGAAATATCAGATGTTTCCGTGACCTTGAATGCGACAACAAGAAAAGTTTTCAAAACTTTTACAAAAAATAAAATAAAAACTGTTTCAAAAAAGTCCACTGTGATGGATTATTTGATTGTCATTGTAACCAGACAAAACATAACATGCAAAAAACAATGCGTAAAATTATTTAAATGAAAATTATTGGTGTGCTTTTGAAAATGGTAAAAATGTAAAGACAAGTTGATTAACACATTAATGTATATTATATCTGTGTGTGTTAAATCTTACTTTTACATCCTGTCTCTTCTTTTTCTGTCTATCCTGCAGTAAGAAGCGTAACTCATTGTTCCGTAAGATCACAAAGCAGTCCAATCTGCTGCACACCAGCCGAAGCTTGTCCTCTTTGAATCGCTCTCTGTCCTCCAGTGAGAGTCTCCCTGGCTCACCAACTCACAGCTTGTCTGCCCGGTCCCCGACTCAGGGCTACCGCTCCACCCCTGAGCCCTCATACCTGGGTAGGACACTGGAAATAAACAATGCACATATGCAACACATGCACAAGAGTTAAAATAGAAATGGTCTGAGATCAGTTCACATTAGAAATATTTTCCTTTTTAAAGAGCGTACAGAAACAACAAGATATATTTTTAGAAGAGAGAACTGGGAGATACTTCCAAAACATGGCGTATGGTCTGGATAGTGAGCTTTTAAGGCCAGAAATGGTACTAGCCTTAAAAGCCAATAGTCACTTTACTTTTAAATCTAAAGTGTGCCTTTTCCATCAGGGATTCTTTATATCTTAATTGATATTTTCTGCTGTGTGTGTTCCTTTAGGAGCTTCCTCCCAGAGCAGCTCTCCAGCCTCCAGCACTCCAAACTCCCCTGCTCCATCTCAGCACATGAGGCCCAGCTCCCTGCACGGCCTCTCCCCTAAACTCCACCGTCAGTATCGCTCTGCCCGTTGTAAATCTGCTGGTAACATCCCCCTGTCCCCGCTGGCCCACACACCCTCCCCTACCCAGTCTTCCCCGCCACCCTTGCCAGGACACACAGTGGGAAGCTCCAACACCACCCAGTCCTTCCCTGCCAAGCTCCACTCCTCACCGCCAGTAGTCCGTCCCAGGCCCAAGAGTGCGGAACCCCCTCGATCGCCTCTTCTCAAACGGGTGCAGTCAGCAGAGAAGCTGGGCTCGCCTCTGACCCAGTCCAGCTCTACCGGAGGACTGGGGGGTCCGCTGAGGAAGCACAGCCTGGAGGTGCAGCACTCTGAGTACCGTAAGGATGCCTTCCTCTGTGAGCTCGGGCTCCAGAGCCTGCTGGAGACAGAAGGTGAAAATTTGCCTCCTAATCCTCCACCCCTGCCCTCATCCTCAACCAACCCAGAGACCGGGGTCCTGAAGCCTGTGAGGAGACTAGGGAGACAAGAGTCACCACTTAGCAGGGAAACACTGCTGGCCGGGAGGGAGAGGGAAGAGAGGGAAAGAGGAAGGGAGAGGGAGAAAGACAGGGAGACTGATACCACGGCAGTCCTGGAGAGATTGAGTCGGGTTGGAGCAACATTATCCCAGTCATCCTTAACAAGAAAACCCCATACAGGTGAGCAGCCCTTGAGCTCGCAAGCTGGCCCGAGCTCCAGACTAAGTTCAGAAACCACTAAAACTACAACTCCTAGCACCCCTACAAAAACAACAGGAAGTCTAATTGGCCAGAAGGGGCCTGAAAAGAGTCCGGCAGACTTAACTCCGAAACAGGAAGACCACAAGGCACCCAAAGGTATGTTATCTAATAGTAAAGAACCCCGGGAGCAACTAGGGGGCAGAACTGAACCAAAGCAGGAAGGAAACAACAAGAGCAGGCCTGGTTTACCTGGGGCTGCCTTCACCAAGAGCTCTGCTTCTACTCCTGATAAATCCATCGGCATCCACGCGACAGTGACAGCAGGTCCTCTGAGCATTAATAAAACCTTTAAACCATCAGGTATGGGGGACAGCCTGAGGAAGGCTGGAGCAGAGAGCAGTGACTCGAGGACTCAAGATCTCGGCTCCAAAAGCCCCAAACTTCCAGCTCGCGTTCTTGCTCCCGTCGTGCCCCCACATGGGCAGCCGCTCTCGCTGGGCAAGGTGAGGCAAGGACTTGGGTCTGTCAACTGCTACCGGGGAACCCTTGACTGGGAGGACAAATGTCGCCTTGAGGTTGTGGAGGAACATTCGCCTTCCCCCTCTCCCTCCCCAACTGCTGTCACCCCCTCCCTCTGTGGACCTTCGCTCTGTAAGTCGCGGCCTGTCTCCCCCGGCGAAAAGACGAGCTTCGTCAGCCAGCTGACCACCGTGGCCAAGAACGTCCTCGGGCCAATCAAGCTTGGCTCCCAGGAGGGGGCCAAGAGCAAAGACCAGCAGACTAAGGCAGCGGAGGAGAAACAGGGAGGCACAGCAGGAAAGTCTGACACTCCTGCTGGAGGTCGAGTGATTGTTGGGGCTGCAGTCGTGACCCAAAGTCCTGCTGCTTCACCACTGGAGAAGGCTGCAACAGGTAGCAGCCAGCCGAAAATGTGACCCCATGGGGTCCCTAAATGGGACTTTAGTAGAAAAAAAGAGATGCCTTTTTTGGAAGAACAATGCAACAGAAGTCAAGCACTTAAAAACATGTACATTCCAGTTTCAGAGTATATGAAATGTTATTTATTGATTCCAATCATTGACTGATTCTAACTTTAAACCAGGAGTAAAATAATCTACTGTAAAGGTGCATTATCTGTTGATTTTCTATTATAAAGTATTTAATAAGAAGACTTAATGTAATGTGGAACACTTTATCAGATGTATATGTGTGTGGGTCTATGTGAACGCATGTCACATGGTTTGTACTTTACATGTATTATAGATACAAGAAGGTCAAAAAGTGCTTTACCGATCAAAACATGCTGAATACTGTGAATACCAAATCCAGTCACTCCTTTCTTCTTTTACTGCTTATATCAAACAAGACAATGAAACGAGGAGGAACCAAGGCACAGTCGGTCAAATTGTAATATTTGCATCAAACAACACGAATGACACACAGCCTCAGTTTGGCTACGGTGGGTAAAGTGAGCAACAAGATGATTAAGCTCATTTCTTCTTCATCCAGCAGTTTACTGAGCTGATGTGCACAGTCAGACAAAGCCAAAGCAGGCACTCTGTCAGTGGATGTCACATCAAGCACGGTTCAGCTCTGTCTGTCACAGGGGATTGTGTGTGTGTGTGTGTGTGTGTGTGTGTGTGTGTGTGTGTCTGTGTGAGAAACCACCTTGGGTCTATTTCTGGTGGTTCTTGAAGGCTGTGTCCTGCTGCAAAGGAAAGCGAGGTTGACAGAGCTCAGGCTCAGCGCTTATCTCCCCTTCGCAGGAGGGCTACCACAGCCCTTTCTCCCTCTGCCTCAGACTGCAGCCTACACACACACACACACACACACACACACACACACACAGAGAGAGACAGAGACACATGCACAAACACGTGAACACACGCTTACACAGGAGGCAGCAGTGTCAGCAGCTGATTTTCATGCATTTAAATCCATACGCCTGTGGCCCCTGAATTTAAGTGTGTTTGCGAGTGAGTGAGTTAAGAAGTGTGTAAGTGTGTGTGTGTGTGTGTGTGTGTGTGTGTGTGTGTGTGTGTGTGTTTTCAAGGGGTAATTACACTCAGCACGGTTGACTCAGCAAGGGTCATGACAGAAACCAAACTGGAAATAAACAGACAGCAGCTGGGATCCAGTAACAGTTCTCAACACTCTGCTACTTTAATAACAATAATCACACAGACATAGTGATGATTACTTATGTGGATGTAAAAGATAATTATAAGCACATATACAGTGAACCCATGTGTTGTTTTGAGCCAAAACAGGCAGTCATGGATGTAGCATACTGTATTTTGTTAAAGGGCTCTATAGCTAAACTAGGGTTTGTGGATATGGGCATGGTACAGTATATCACAATGAACCTTTTACTTTAAAAAATAAGGTTATCTACAGTGTAATCAGAATGGCTGTGTTGATACATTAGGTAGGCTACTACAAGCTAGGTAGTCGAGATTGATTAATGTAATGCTCACATTTGTCTATGTAACATACTGATAAAGGTGTTTGAATCAATAATCTCAGCGCCAGAGTGCTGAGAAGGATAAAATGCTCACAGGAAAAACAACTTTCTCTTCTCCCACTTGTTGTCTTATTCATCTCTTTAGTAGTTAATTCTCAGTAACTATCCAGTGTACATAATCTTATGCAAACCATTTACAGCTGTATGTGAGGACGGCTGTCACTTTACTGCTACTAGCTGATGTACTGATTTGGGGTGGAGAGTAAGGTTTTGACGATTTAATCCAGTTTTGAATTGATGCGTTGTTAAATATCACTTTCTGATAGCGATTTGATTAGAATGACTTTGATTCCCCATCAAATGTAAACTGATTCAACCAACAACAGCAACTTCACAACGAGGCAGAAGTTCAAAGACTGACATTTATTTTCTAGTCTCAAACAACGGTGGCTCAGTCTGGGCAACAGTTTTGACTTGCTAAATGTTCAAGTTTGTTCTGTTAGTTCTGTTTTCCGAGAGGCTCTCAGTGTAATGCTGGCAGCATTGTTTTGGTTTTGTCTGTATGAAGACAACAAAACAATGTGCTGAAAATGGCTTTAAGATATGTCGAGCTACAAAGTGGGAAGTTGATGTGTGTGGTATTGGCAGTATACAATTACATAACCTGTCATTAGTATAGCTTAAAAATATTTCTTAATTAATTTTTAGTTCAATATAAATTGATTTTTATGTATTTAAAGGATTCAGTTAGTAATCCACCCCTGAATCCAACAGTGTTTGAAGGTGCAGCACATGCATCAACTGGTGAGGTTTTTATTTGGCGTTGTACTCTTCTGCCCTCCAGTGGTTCAAAGCAGCCACTGTTAAAGATGTTTCCATAAAATGTTCATTAATAACGAGTTGGAGTGAGAGCTTCTGTTATTAATTAAGCCAAGACCACCAGAATACTGCAGAATGGATGTTATTAGCCATAGGGTTACTGAATATGCATTTACGTTTCTAATGACAAAATGTTTGCAGTAATTATCAAATGAACACTTGAAACATGAATTTGTTCCTTTTCTGTTGCTGTTCTTCACGTGACTGTTAATTATATCTTCTGGAATAGGGATTAACATTTTTAAATATACTGTCTTATATACTCTACTGATAGGGAGGAGTTCTTTTATATCTTGATGTAATAAATGAGTCGTCAGGTCAGCTCTGATCACCTGATTAAGAAAACTAACTGTAATGTAAACTTATACAGCTATTATGCTCACTTTCAGGCCTTTTCCCAATCAGTGGTGTCTATACTAGTGTTACATGTTTGAGAATTTCTTCTTTTTTTGTGATTGACAGAGAGAGTAGTATAAATGCACTTTATTTGGGGAAAAAAAAATCTTAATTTGCTGGTATTGTTTGTAAGTTACTTTGAAGAAAAAGTAAATATACTGTATACAAATATGGATTCTACAAATGAACACAAAAGTCCAAGTATAAAAACATTCCACGTTTCTCTGTTCACTGAAAGTGTATTTATTTGTACCATGGGGCATTTTTGTTTGTGATAGATGTGATTCAAATGCAGACACCTGAAGTGCAGTATGTGGAATAAAATTCTGAGATTTGTTCCAAAACATGACAACTCTGACTGTTTTTTTTATTTTTTACTATAATCTCTGATAAAAGTCCTGCAACAGACAGATAACCCTGTTTTTATCTTGTCACGGTACACACATATTTGTTATAGCAGCTGTAACTAACATTGACGTAGTGGCTGTACTCCATTAAGCTTTTTCTCTTTCAGGACTGTGTTATTGTTTATTCTTGCTCAGGGTCAGATCTACAAGAATATTCTTGGTGTGGCCAAAGGTTGGCATGGAGACTTTAAATGATGGCTGAAATAATGCTGCTTTAATTGCAAACAATCACATATATGCATATTTGCTTGGAAAACTCTCAAATGAAGATATTTGAACTGAAAAACAGTATATTATTGTGGCACGTTAGAAAAGCAGTGAATAGAAATATGTAAGGATGCCATTAGAAATCGATACATTTTATTTTTAAAATTAAAGTGTTGGGTTTGACATCAAACCGGGGCGTAAGTAGAAACATTATTTGTTGCTGCACTGCCATAATTGCTGTAATGAAGTCATCATGAATGTTATTAGTAGCACCTGCGCTTTTCCTACTGTGACATGTCCGGCTTAGAAAAAGAAAGACAATTTTTTTAAACAGAGAAGAAAGGGAAAAAATGTGAACGAAAACCCAAAACATGAAAAATCTTTTGCTTTTGGCTCCACTTTTTAATAGCATGAGAGCCACCATGTCTCTGACGTGAAAAAAGTTTAGTAGGCCTAAGTGCTAACATCCTTTAGGTTACATAGGGGAACATAAAATTTATTTATTTAATTGTTTTACTTTCTTTTTTTTAGTCCCCTCTTACTGAGACAAAATGTAATCTGTGAAAAGGTCTACTGAGGGGTTGAATTTAAGAATTTGTATTTAACATTTATTTAAAATATTAGATATATATAGCACCTGTCACTCTAAATCATTCAAACATACAAATGCACAATAAAGTGTGTCCTGCTTACTAACATGTGTTATGTAGCCTAGGTTACATATTGCATAACTCTATGATCGCTGTAGTCGATGTCAGCCAATCGCAGAGAGCCGAGGTCTATTATTCGGACGTTATCCAATCAGCGTTGTCGGAGTGATTGCTTCAACCAATTGCGTTGCGTCAGGAAAGGACAACAGGAAGTAAATGCCCTTCTCTGCTGTCAAAGGGAGATGTTAAAGCGGTCGGGGAAGCAAAACCCTGCCATGTACTGGATTATCCTGCCAACTAGTCTGTAGGAATAAGCTCGTTTGATGAATGGAGGAGCCCGGAGCACACTGACAGCGGCTGTGGTGAAAGCTCGTTAACGTTAGATAGTGATATATTATAGCTAACGCCGGGAGCTAGCGTCTGAAATGCTATAGACAGCTAGCTTCAGCAAACTAGTAGACTGAGGACAGCAGTCGTGGGTGAAAAGAGGGGAAAAAAACTCTGAAATGATTCAACCTACTACAAAGTACCGACCAGCTTAACCGGCTTTTACAGCAGGTACGTAGTCGTTAGCTAGTCAGGCTTTAATTTGAGGTGAATTAGCTGTTTTAAAGGAGGACGGGCTGCGGCAGACAACCGGTTATTATGCTCGCGTTTTGTTTCAGAAGAAAAATATCTGCTGCACTGACGTCGTGAGACCAGGCGAATGCATTAAAAACGACTGTACGGATGCTGGCCGTAAAGTCTGGTGATTTATTTTGCGGTCCTGAGACATATTCATGAAGAAAACGACACATTACGTGTGTCGTGACAGACGTGTTTCTGTCCTGCAGTGAGTAATTGACAGCTTGATTTACAGTAGAGGATGATGACAGCCACCATAATCAGATGACTTTCACAGACGCTCAAAAAGCCCGACATACCGGTTGTCAAATGCTAATCACATGATGTTGTTTTTTTTTTTTTCACAGAAATGTTCCCATCAGTGCAATCAGTGACTACACATTGTGCGACTGTTCCCTATTGAAACTGCTAATCATCAGTTTCAGGGCAAGGTGGAAAAGTCACTGGTGCTTTCCCTTTGTGCTGTGTGCATTGTGAAATCAGTAGTTGAAGATGGATGACTTACGTTTGCGCTGACAATGTTGTATATATACTTTTTCAGGAAGTGAGGACTTGCTTTTGGCTTAGCGGCTGGTTGGGTTTCTTTCACAGTGCAATAAAACCATGTGATTGTAAGAGTATGAAACTTCAGACATAGTTGTGATTACTAGCCTTTCAGGCTCTTCCAACTAGGCCTGCACGTGACAATTATTTTCATTTTTCCAGGATGTAAGCTGACTCATTTAAATGTTTTTTGTGTGAGTCCAAAACTCAGATAATCAATTAGGTTTGACAAACTACTATTTCCAATATCAAGAATCAACTTTCATGCTCATTATAATTCGGTTACTCTCATATAAACAACAGAAAATGTCAAACATTGAGTCAGTCTAATATTTGATTATTTATCTTTTTGATTCATTGTTTAAGCTCTGCTGTCTCACGGTCTTCTTCAGCAGGAGGAGCTTACTCAGTTGTCTTGAGATTTGATGGTTTTGGGTAGTATGCACTTCTACTAAAATCACACAGCCAAGAAACCAACATCTCCTTAAGTTAATCTATAACATCAGCCTTTAACTTGGTTAGTCATGATCTCACTAATAGCTTTAGAAAAAGTGCAAACAATAATGTAGTAGATCAATGAATCTTAACTCAACCAAATACATGATCTTGAGCTTATTTAAAGCTGTTTGCCTTTTGGTGTGCGTGGTATTTGACAACATACACAGAGTTGCTCTAAAACAACACCATCTAATACCGAGCTTGCTGAAGGAGCCACTTGACCATTGCAAGTCAAGTCGGTTTTATCTGTCTCGACCAAAATAAAAAAAATTCCTCAGAGGGGTTGACACTTTCTGTCTATAGACCCCGGATTCAGATCCACAGAATCTTTTAACAGGGAGAAAAAGGAAGAAATGCATCACTTCCAGGATGGACAGACGTGCAATATATACTTCATACAGAGGATTAAAGTGTCAATTGTAATATTAAGTGTAATAAGTTAAAAGAGTTTTGTTTCAGGATAAGTGTAAACAACTAAGTGTTTGAAGTGATCAATGTGAACTCACGTCAGCAGTCAATCATTTATCTTATCTCTTACTGTCTTCTCTTCCCCTCCGTCAGTTCTGTGTTGCAATGAGGAACACCAGAGTCAAGCTCTGAGGGCTCAGAGGCATGAACACAGTTTCCCCCAGCGCAGCACAGTACGTAGGGGGAGTGATGCAGGAAGAGCTGGTGGAGAACCGGAGGCAGCAGCCCCTGGAGCGGCAGGGCAGCTTTGGACTCAGGTCACCACAGACACCAGATCCCAGCAGAGAGGCAACCGGAGAGCCTGATGAGATGGACAAACTGAAAGCCAAACTGATGTCAGCATGGAACAACGTCAAATATGGTATGTTGTAAAATGACAAACTTGATATATATATATCTATATCAGCCTTCTGTAATGGCTACATTGCCAACTTCCACTTTCCCTGCTTCTCTTTCTGTAGGTTGGACTGTTAAGTCTAAAACCTCCTTCAACAAGATATCGCCAGTCACTGTCCTGGGACACTCCTATCTGCTCAACAGTGAAGGTAAGCTCTAAATACACACATTAAGAATCTCAAGGTTAATCCCTTTCCCATCAAAGGTACAGTAGACAAAAAGCCCCCCACATACAGACATGCAAACAGATCTTTCTCCTGTCAGATAAACAAAAGATGAAACACAGAAACAGTTGTTTGTTTTGAAGCAACACAGTATAAGTGAGTTCTCCCTCACAAGCTCTTTCATTTCCTCTGTCTCCCCCTCCACCCCTTCGCCTCCTCTCAGACGAAGTGGAGCGGTTTCGTCTGGCTTTCGTGTCCAGGATTTGGCTGACCTACAGGAGGGAGTTCCCTCAGCTGGAGGGCTCCACTTGGACCACAGACTGCGGCTGGGGCTGTATGCTGCGCAGTGGGCAGATGCTGCTGGCACAGGGGCTTCTGGTCCATTTGATGCCCAGAGGTTTGTCTCATACCCACAGAAAATATCAGTTTTTATCTAAGGAGCACTCTGTCAGCCAGTTGGGACCTTTTTAAAAGGCTGGTTGGTCTTATTTTTCCTATTCAGTGAAACAGATTTATTATATATTCCATTATACATTCAGTCTGCACAATACGAATACCCCTTTTAGATTGAACAGATATAATTGAATAAGTTGTCTTGTGACGGATAATCTGACAGATCTGACCTATTTTTTTTTTTTAAACATTTACATTCAGTGCAACAACACTATACAAGACCTCTATTTATCTTTCTTCTTGTCTAATTCATGTCTTCTTCTTCCCACTTTTTATATCTCTCCTGCAAGATTTAATTTAATGTCACTCAGTTTTTTCTGCTCTTCTCTCTCCTTTTGTCCTTTTTTAGTCACACTTTTTTAAAGCCTATCTTATCCTGTGTTATTTCTGTTTCTTTTCTTTGCATACAGCATTTGTCTGTCTCATGGCTCCTTGTTTGCTGCTCTGTCCCATTCTGTCTTTTTATAACATTTTTTCATTGTGTGTCCATGCTAATGAGTATGGCATTTAAAAGATGTCTTCCCTCTGATTGTTTGAATCTAAAGACTGAAGGAATTCAATACACTCCCCAGATCTTCAGCGTGGCTGTACTTGATTGATAAGTTCAACTCTTTCTGTATTCTCTAGATTGGGCGTGGCCAGATGTTCAGCAGCTAACCGATGTGGACTTTGAGGTGTTCAGACCACGTTCCCCAGCCCGGGCTGGAGGGGTCCCAATCCCATCCTTTGCCACGCCGCGAGGAACCAACACCCCTGAAAAGTCCCTGCCAAGTGATCAGGTGCCCAAATGCAGCCAGAAAAAGAGACCCGAGTCTGTGAGGGACAGCCAGGTAGAGCCCGTCCACCACAGGCTGGTCACCTGGTTCGGTGATCAGCCTCCAGCACCTTTTGGGATTCACCAGCTGGTGGAAATCAGCAAAAGTTCAGGGAAGAAGGCTGGTG